GGTGTTGGGTGGGGTTGGAGCTGAGGCAACACGCCTACCACGCTCAGACCTACTATTCTCTGCAAACCTCAAACTCTGCTGGTGTAGCCCCTTTTGCTTCTCCTCCTCATTCCACTCAGCTCCATAGTAAAACTCTTCCGTCGATTTCACGACATCTTTTGAAGGCGGAAGGAACATGCTCCCCCACTGAGGGAAGTGCACCAAAGTCACTGGAAGTGTGCAGCACACGATCATTACCCCCATCAGAGACAACCCTGTCGCAGTTGAGAATGCTGAGCTTGAGAAGAACACTAGTTGGGTCAGCCCGGACCCGAAGTTCCCACCCGCTCCAGTGAGGCCCGATATGATGCCGAGGGATCGCCGGGAGATGAAGGGGATGACGCCAAAGGTGGCTCCGCATGCAGCTTGGGCTCCTACAGAGAAGAGGATCATGGCAAAGACCGCAATGGGGAGTGAGTTTGCTCGGCCGAGCCAGATGCAAAAGACTCCTCCTAGTGTTTGGAGGATCCAAAGAGTCCATAGCCTGCCCCTCATGCCAAAGTACCTGGCTGCTCGATCAGACGCAAATCCTCCAAAGGGACGGGCCACTAGGTTGGCCATGCCAAATGTTGCAGCAATGATTCCAGCTGTGTGAAGCTTGAGATTGAACCTGTTTGATTATAAGGACATTTGAAATTAATCCCAGCTATCTCTCAAAATACTTTGTTGTTCAAACATATAGATATGTTGGGTTGGAAATTCTCAATCTAGTTTTTTGAACATCTCTAATTTAAATGTGTGGTCCAGATTGACAGTTTGACAACATAACATGTTAGATATTTAAAACGAAATATTCGCTAACTAGTGTTGTTAACAACATTATATTCTTGTGGTGAGACCCAATATGACATATGGGTCGCTTGTAAACATGTGATCAATAAATATGGTAAAAATCATTATACTCTTTAAAAAGTAAAAGAAGAAAAAAAATGAAGGACGAACCTGTCATAGAAGTATTCAGCAATGACATTATCAGTGGACAATTCAACACCCATGGAGTAGCCATAGAGAAGGACAAAGATCCATGTCCTGTAGTTTGTTATAGCATGCCACAATACCTGAACAATATTCAAATTGGAGGGGAGGAACATCAATCAGCTTATTCTGTATAAATATTCATGGATATTTGAAAGTCATGAATACATAAGCAAAGAATCCAAAAAGGCCTTAAATATAAAGAAAACTGACCTTGGAGAATTGATCTTTGGCAACATCACCCTTCTTTTGCAGGGCAGCAAGATTCCCATCAGGCAAGTCTTGGCCAAGGGTCAAGACCATTATTCCCATAATGACATGAAGCCAGCCAGGGATGAAAAAGGCAATTCTCCAAGCAGTGAAAGGAGTTGCTCCAAGTCTTCCAATTATATCATACACCAATGGCATCAAGAGCTGGGTGGCCCCACCACCCATGTTTCCCCACCCTGCAGCTGTCCCATTAACCAGCCCAATAATCTTACTGTTAAACATGGTGCTCATCCAATACTGGCATGACACGAATGTAGCAAGCGAAAAACCAATCATGAATCTGACTGCCAAGTAGCCCCCAGCATCAGATACAAATGACATGCAAAACACAGTGGGTGCGCAGAGCATTATGAGAAACGCACACCCATATCGTGGCCCTAGCAAATCACACACTGCACCCATTACAAGTCTTGAGAATATGCTGCCCGAGACAGAGGCAACCCCAGCATTTCCAATGTCTTGCTTTGTGAGGTTGAGGTTGTCTCGGATTATAGGGACAAGTGGAGCAGCTGCAAAAGTTGAGACAAAGCAAGTGAAGAAGGAGATCCAAGACAAGTGGAAGGTTCTCATGTGAGGGTTGGCCAAAGAGAATATTTTGAAAACTTTGGCCTTGTGCTCTGAATCAACTGGTAGGTCAAATTTGGCTGTTGGGTCTGTTGGGACTATGGGAGAAGCTACTGAGAACGCAAAGGTTTGCTCTCTGCCTGTCACTCCATGCATGGAGCTTCCGGGCTCACCTTCGACTTCGGCCATTATTCAGGGTTTTGAATTTGGGGTTTGGAGTTTGGATTTTGAATCTCGAGTTTCAAAACTCAAGTTTTGAATTTAGAAACTACTTAGACTAAATGAAGTTATGGGGTTGTGTGGGGAAGGTATATGGGAGTGTGGCATTTATATAGGGCTTGGAGTTGACATTTTGTGAAGGGTTATGAAGAGGCAAGAAAGATTCTCAACATTTTGGTTATGCATTTTGCCGCATATCTGATATGAAGAGTAAAAGTCTCATCGTATATCCCAAGGGATCACATAAACCTTCCTAATGGGCCATCCAGGTGGTTAATTAACTGGTAGCCGCATATAGTTATGATAATTAAATATTAATTAGGTCAATGAACCCTGATTAATTCGGCTTGGGATTTGTACACATTGCACGTTCCTTATTGTAAATGGAAATGGTTACCACTAATGACATACAGATTTATATTGTTTGAGCTAAAGTATATAGACCCAACTATATTAATGATGTGATCTACAATGTTGTAAATAAATATGTAGTTTTATATTGTTTTGTATCTGCCGACTTGTAATAAAATGACATTTCAAAACGTTGTGAGTTTGTTTGAAAGTGTTTAGGAAACCCTCACATTCAAATAACTCTTTTATTATAGCAAGCCCCTCCACTAGAAGCTCATAAAAGATAACACAAATATGCTCTGCAAGTCTTCTCTAACTAACAAGAAAAACTTATATTTACCTAAAGAGAAATGCTTATGGGACTTGCTCACATGGACTTGATGATCATGTTTATTGTGTAAAGTGAGCCAAACTTGACATTAATTCTCAAAGTGTCAGCAAGTTCACGTAAAAACTCTATTTTGAGCAAGTTCTGTTATAGCATTTCTCTTATTTCAATCCAATAGTATCAAGAACACTCTTGATTATATATATATTTAAATGCAACATTCAAAGATGTCATCATAATTCACAATCTCACAATTAATATAACATACAAAAAGTTTGGCAATATGAAACCACTACGTGTATGTATATCGAATAATATTATCTTATCAAACAGTTTAACATACATATATATATATATATATATATATATATTATAGTGTCGGACGTTAATCTGAACCATTATCACATTGACACACAGATGTTTGTACCAATAATTCATCGCAAGTCTACGACAATCAACTAGCCAAACTGCAATTATTTTAAGCAAATATGTCCTGCAATTTGCAAGTCAATCAAGGGGCAATAGGAGGGATGATATCTCTTTCTTTCCTTCACATCTATTACAATTCATCATATATAACTAATATCTTATTAAGGTGCCATTGTGCCTACTCGTTATTATATATTAACCATATTATTAAAATGTCATTCTCAGGTGACAGGTCAAATGTTACCTCTTTTATAATCACAGACTGTAGCCTTTTCTTTTCTCATTATCAAAAGTTTGCTTGTTGTAATGGTTGATTGATAATATATATATACACACACACACATAAAACTGGATACTTAACCTTTCACTTGATCATAGAGTTCTTGTGTATTGTTTTTGGAGGAGATTTGGACCACATGACTTGGTATTTGTGGTTGGATGGCGCCTTTTATGATTTGTTTAAGAGCTACAAAAACAAGTGTGTTTGCTGACATAATTATAAGACCTTTTGTATTTTGATAAGAACTCTATGATTTGGACCATATAAGAACTTTTATGATTTATTATTATACAGTCCATTTCTATTGAGGGATCTTTTAAATAAGGATATCTTTTAGGGTCCCCTACGAATTTTTTTTCAACGATCTAAAGCATCTATTTTTTTAAGTCTATATTCATAGATCATCCTTGCAAAAAATTAGACAAATAGGAAACCGTTTCGGCATCCAATTGTGTGATACAAAATCAATGAACACGGTGCTTTAAGAAATACTAAAATTTCAATAACTCAATTGGGTGGTCAAATGATATTAGATTCAAGTGATTTGTTGTAGAAATGATCTTTGAATGATTATCTAAAAATAGACGGTTTGGATTAGTAAAATATAATGCGGAGTGAGCCCTATAAGAGTGTCCCTCAAATAAGCTTATTTGAAGGATCCATCAATGGAAACTGGGACCTTAAGTGCAGGAGTAAGGGTAAATGCTTTTAACCACTTGTGGTTTTGTTAAATAAGTAAACAATGAAACATATGAATGTATGCTTTTGCCAATTATATTCAAACATATGGCATGGGAAGCTGATGCATTCTTAACCTCGAGTGCGCATTCGTTTCTGTTCATTTTAGTACATTGCAAAAGCACACATGCATGACCATCCAATTTGTACATTTCTATTGGCATCTCAAACATTCATACCTAATAATCCAAACCCATCCATAATGTATATAGTATAATAGTCCCTCTTATTCCCACCCATTTAGGAAAGATAAGTACTGACCGTACGAGCTGACTGTAGAAGAATACCTAAATAATTGGAGAACAAAATAATCAATTAAATTATATGCTTGGGATACAAGTACACCATGGAAAGAAATAAAGAAAAGCTTCCCCAAGAGATAAGCATCTTGGTCAAATTATGGAAAATAATTGAGCGCATGTTCGATGCATATTTGCATGCTAAGTCATACAAGGACAGGGCTTCCTCATCTGTACAAAGCAGGAATTTTATATTCACAAATGCATGCACATGCTTCCATGCATTTCATATGAATCATTCTCATATGAGATCATAACCTAACCAGCCAACCCATTTTGTATCCCAGTTTAAAGAATACTTTAAAGTTTAAATGTACAACTCCACAGTCCAGCAAATCTACCCTGCAGAATGAGGAACTTTAACAAATCAAACCTAAGTTCATAAGTTTCTGTGAGGAAATAAGCATCTTTCACTACTAGTTTTGAATTTGGGTTCATTCCACTCCTTGCACCATAACAAGGACTAGATATACCAAACCTAAATGAGGTGTATCCTAATATTCAAGTTCTAACTGCTGGTAGTCCCCCTTCTTTGAACTGGTTTGTAAAGCACAACTGTAACGAATTTTGAACGAAAGCGATGAGTGAACCCAAGTGCAACTACAGATCGTGGGCTCTCCCGGTTCTCAATGTAAAGATGATTGAGGGTCACATTCTGTGGCAACGGAAGAGTTCCAGCAGTGTCTGCGCTTGCTGGATAACTAAGTAAGGTCTGTTGCAGATGTGGAGGGACAAGAGGCGGATCCCGTGCCTCATCTTCATTCCCAGGGTATACATTGTTGTAACTTGCATCAGGTGATCTTAAAACTTCAAATCCTGCAACAGTTGCTTCATCCTGCATAAAATATTTAAAGGTCGGTCCTTTTTTATTTCAGTAGATAAGAAAATGATCAAGGTTCCGGAGGCTTACATAATCATCACCAAATGAGTTGTTCATGCTGAAACAGGAACTAGCAGCACAATATCATCAACTAAGGAAGACTATAATGACCTGAAAGACAGTAGTTCATCTTCCATGAGAATCACAGATACACTAGCTGTGCGTCAACATAAGTTTGCACACATAGAAGTAGAATTCCACACCAAGGCAACCCAGAAAATTCAATCATCCACTGCAATGTTAAAAGTCAAGGAAAAACAACGGGATGGCTATGAGACCCAAGTAACCAATCCCATATACTCTGTTTTAGATGATTGATGCAACCGATTACAACTTAGGGGACTGAGTATTTTCAAACTCAAGAACTTATACAATGAGTTGGCTTAATGGTCCTAAACTTTTCCATGATAATTCGACATCTTTTCCTTTGATTCTCTTTTCGTACACATCTCATTTTTGGGCCATTGAGTGTTAATGAACTATTATTCTTCTGATACTAAAGAAATCTAATCAGACATAATTACAAAGAAATCCTATACTATGCACAGTCCAATCCTTTCAGTTTTATTCTTCCATAGAAGATAGCGTTAATTTCTAAACTCCAAGGGATATCTTATATGTTATAATAGAAGAAACAGGTTTTCTCTGTGTCACTACCATGGTGATGTACAACTTCTTTCCGGTCCTAAACATAAGATGGCAAATGAATGAGAAGCTGAAAATAAATCTCAGAGAAACCCACCCGTAACATTATAGAGAAGTCACCAGGAAGCCTCACTTGCATGTTTACATTTAATGAAAATTAACCAAGTGGACAACATACACTTTCGGAGCTTGCAAAGCTTTTAGGGTAATATTGTACCCCAGCTCCTATTTCTACCAATTTGTGCAGCTTACCAATCAACACACATAACATACTCTAAGTTGATGCACTGATTTAGGCTTAAAACATCAAATACAGTTTTTTTACTTCTCAATTATATTATAGCACGTGATCGATTTTCATCTATGCTCTTTTAGCAAATATTAGCTAAAGTCGACTTCTTCTCGTAAAGTTAAGCTGTGTTGGTTAACTTTAGCCTTAAAAAATAAAAAAAATAAATACAGGACAAAACTAATAAGCTATTCCAATAATAAAAATTTTCTATTCTTGAATTTAGAAGTAGACAATGTCAAAAGTAAACAAATAAAATAAGGAACATATATGTCTCATTTGAGTAGCATAAACTATAGATATCCCTCCAATCACATTAATAATAGATAATAAAATTAAAATATAAAGTAAAATAAAATTAATAATAGATCATATAAATAAAAAATAAAGCAAAATCAATTTTGGTCTGTCAGCCTTCCACCATCCACCATGCCTCCCCTTCCCTCACCCTTACGACCTCATCCTAGCCTCCCCCCACCCCATCCCCAATGTTTTTTGTTCTGTGGAAACATAGCAGTGGTGGACCACTGCTAGAACCAGAACGGCCTCAGGGAAGACAATTTTCACAGGTTTTGTTGAGATTTGCAACTGGATCCAGTGAGCCTGCTGCAATGTTGTGGAAATGGGAAGCATGGGTGAGGCTCCATGCCAACAAGGCTCTCGCCCCATGAATGCTCTGTGGCCTCAATATGATCTGTAGGAGACTTCGCGCCTCATTAACGATACAGATAATTAATTTTCTAATAATGAGATAAATTCATTTTTTGTGGAACCCTTAGGTGTTGGGGAGTGCTGATTTGTGAAGTGATCTCCCTTGTGTCATGACTCATGATAACTGGTGAGTGAGATTTGATCAATCAAGGAGATAGAGGGAGAAGCTGGGAGGCCGGTGGTGGAGGATAGGGGAGGGATGGGGTAGTGGAAGGTCAGGGATGAGGTGGGGCTGGGGTGGGGTTAGATCGGAAGGGTGGGGCCGCATAGATCTTTCAACTTTAAGCTTATTTTATATTTTAAGTTGAAATTTATAATTTTTTAATTAACTAATATTACTATTAATTTTTAAATGGTTTAAGAATTTATTTTTAATGGTAAGTGGATAGAAATGACACCATTAAGTAATGGAGTCAAACAAAGTGACCAAAATACAATTTCGTCTACAATACAGGGGCCAAAAAGGTATTTTACCCAACTATGTTAATCTCTGAAAGATTGAAAGAAAAAAAATTGGCTGTCGACCTTGGTACACACATCCGCATTTGTAATAGCAGCTACAATTTCAAATTTTTGCAATATACACCAAATTCAATTGCATTGGCCATAAATCTTAATCTATGAAAGACCAAATTCAAAGACCTAACAACAAATCCAAACTCTCCACGGTCAATATCACATCCCATCCAAGAAAATACCAACCAGATAAAAAGAAAACTGAATCAACTGCATTTTAAAAGTTCCTTAGCAAAATGAGAAAGATGAGAAACAAAAAATTTGTCAAGCGCTTTCCCAGTAAAGTCCCTCCTTATCAGACTTAAACCAAATCAATTCTTGAATGTTTACACCATTTCTCACCCTCTAAAAACCCTCAAAGGGTGCAGCCAGTGAATAACTCATCACTGGCACAGCTACTGAAATAGGGAGGAAGGGCAAAACTGCAGTCTCATTATACAAAAAGAAGGTCTATTCAAGAAATCACCAGCACATGCCTTCTGCAGAATGTGCAGGTTATGAAAATACAAGAAGTTTAAGTGTACAGTCAATGAAAAATAAGAAAACCATGCAGATTAAGATGAAATGAATTGGAATCAGATTCCGGGGATGAAGAGTCTGATGTGGCCTTCTTAAAGAACAAAGAATCTATGTTGGAAGTGATTAAACTCCATTAGTTTGGGGCCAAATATAAATGTTACATAAACGTGTAAAAATTAATAAATGTTACAGTTGACCATAAGAACGTTTTGCCCTTGGTCAGATAAAAAGTTTTTAAAAAAATCTCTCACTGGCTTCCTATTCACCCAGGTAAAATCATTTCTTTCTCTACGTTGTTTACAAACAAAAATTCATTCATTCCCAACCCAGTAGGCATTGCCTCACATGTGCATTGTTAACTGAAGGCTTCATTTCAATTAGGAATCTCTTATGCAGTTAAGAACGGATAATTTGTGGATTCACTTCAATAAAGCAGTTCTTTTCTTTATATAAGAAACTAAACTATACAATAGGTTGTCAATGGTTGTCTTGTCATAGAACAAACAGGTAGTAGATTGCACTAGAAGGATGCAGACAAAATAACAGAAAAATCCCACACTTATACCGGGACCATGAAAAACACACAAACACACACACATTGCTCAAACAAAACCCACAAGCATCAATACCATACCAAACAATATCAACAAGTAATACACTACATGAAAATCCACCAAGAATTTCCATATGCAGTCTCCACATTGTACTTTTGATGACAGTCTCCCTTCATAATTTATAAAATAGTAGATTTGCCAACATTAAGAAAGCAAGGCCAACCATTCGGAGCTATTGCTGTTGCTCTAAATTATCACCTATCTCCTATAAAATCATCTTTTTAGTGTAAAACGCAATGGAACTAACAAACTGAATTCTGCAGAACATCAAAACACAAGTAAGATAGAAAAGGATCAAAGCACACCTTTAATAGGACTGCATCCAGTATTGGTCTTCCTACCCAAAGATTTTGATAACAAGAGAAATTTTCATAACTAATAGATAACGGCAAAACATACACACGGTAAGCTCATACCAACAATGCATTCAATATGAATTCTAGCAGACTAAATACCAAAGATTCAACATTCCTAAAACCATGAGGGAAAACATTTAACAAAATTTCAGAACGAAAGGAAGACCCAAATGATTTCAGAATAAGCGAGCGCGTGCACACACACAACCCACAAAAACAGAATTCTTTAACCTAACCTATAAATATCCTCAAGAATAGATTATATTCTCTAAAAGATGTATCCAGTAGCATAAGAGGGCAAAAATCAGTAAGATAAATCATATCAAAGCACATGATACATGAAAATTTGCTTCATCCGAAACCATCATCAAATATCAATATGCTAGGGATCACATTTCAAAGAAGAGACTTACCGGATTGGACTAAAGCCCCAACCTTCAATCAACAGCTTCTCAGTGACCTTACTCTTGAAACCAATATGAACAGCTAACAATTCAATTAATAGAAAATATGAACTTTCGCAGACCCTACGCTTATCTGAAAAATAAAGGCAAACCCAGATGGAATCAAAAGCTACCCATAAGATATTTTACCAAAACAAAACTACCCAAAAATCTAAACGCTGCCAATTTCATGTTAAATCCTCTGAGTAAATGAAAAAACTAAAAGCAGACCGAACCCAGTCTAGGAATGAGTTCAATGAGTTGAATTCAGTCCCATATAAGCAGACCCACAATGGGATTTCAAGGTAAAAAGGAAAGTATAAAAAGAATCCGACAAAAGAAAAACCAAACAATTCTTTACCTGGTAAACAGAGAAAAGATTGAAAACTTTAAATTGAGAAAGCTAGAAACGGTGGGCGAGTGTGTTGGTTCGAGGAAATGACTGCACAAATCCAGCTCGAGAGACTTTCTTCTAGGAGATTCCGCCAAGTGATCCTGACACCAGCCTGGTTTGCTAAGCGAAAACTAAATTTTCAGGGAAAAAAAAACATGATTTTCTTGGTTTTTTTGTTTTTGTTTTTAATTTATAATCTGGGTTAGGGGATTTGAATTAGTTTCTTTAATCAATCAACAAAAAAAAAAACAACATTTATTCGTTTATACAATTTTTCTCTATATTAACAACCCTTTTTTAGTAATACTATATTGTATAATGGGTAAATATACTCTCAGTTTGTGATTTTATAGATCTTTTTGTAAGTGCTTTAAAAATAAAATAACATTATTAATTTTGCAGCACATGGTAACAAATTCAGGATGGGTACAGGCCAAGAAAATACTATGAAAAGTTTTGTTAATTAGTCTCTAATCAAAAAAAAAAAAAAAAAAAAAAAAAAAAAAAAAAAAAACGTTGCTATTTAGTCTTCAAAATATCTGGATTGAATCATATCAAAGGCACCCAGTTTCATTTTGAGGGGGAAGAAAGTCATTGTTCTTCCTCCCCTCTCTCCTCTTCTCTTCCTCCCTTCATCTTTTTTCCTATATTGAGAGGCAAATAGTTTTCTAGTTTTGTCTTCGTTTTGTTATGATTTTCATCCAACCATCATATGTGACTGCGTCTCGGCGTCGAATCTCCACCTACGTTTCGGCGTCGGATCTCTATCATCATCCTTTTTACAGTTTATTTATGTTTGGAATAAGTTGCAAAGACTCTTTGCGATCATTGTGTAGTTTTCACATTTCCTTTTGTGATAGCTTTTCATCTCTCATTTGTGAAAGTTTTATATGTATTGTTATGGCTTGATTTTTTCAAGCTTTATCTCTTTTTTATTATTATAAGTTTGCAATCTTAGTTGGGATACTTATGCCATAGTTTTTTCGATCCCACTTGATCGTTAGTGGAGGAACACCAGATTGTTTTAATTTTGATATTAGACCTATCTGTTATTGTAATGACTCTTTTGTGGCTAGTTTGTATTGGCCTTTTGTGTCCAGTGGCTTTTTTGGCTGAATTATGAATGCAATCATAGAATTTCTCAACAACAAAAAAGTCTACAAAATATCCAATTAAAATAAAGAATTAATATTTTAAGTCAAATCTTAAAACTAAATGCATTTTTAATATGATTTTAGTATGTCTTCCAATTTGTTACATAGATTTTTTTTTAAAATTATTTTTTTTGGGTATGAGCTCCTTTATCTTTTAAAATGTGAATTTGTCAAATTTTCTATTAAATTCAGGGTTATTTTCGTTCATCCAAAGGCATTTCCAAGAAAAAGCTAACATTAATCACACAAATTTAACGGTTGGGAGTTAATTAGCATGTTTTAAAAGATTAGGAGGGCTCATAAACAAATTGAAAGTCAGAAAAAGCAAATGGGAAGAAGGTCATAATTTAACAAGAAAGGCTATAGCTCTTCCCATAACTAGAAAGAGCAAATGGCAACACTCTCAAACTTGAAATAGAAAAAACTATTGTGTGTCACCATAACTAGAAAGGCTAATATGCTTCAACTCCTTTGACTTTAATTCAAGATTCATGTTATTGTTTTACATAAAAGCAATAGTCTGTAAAATAGTTTCTCACTGTGTTGATGTCCTTCAATCGGGTGTGTCTTATGGTGGGTGTGGAATGAATCTACAAAAGAAGATAGAAAAGATGAAGACCTTGGCACCAGTGTATTACCGACCGAAGGCTCTCCGATGCTTAAGTTAGCTTTAAGGATGGAGTGTGAATCTATTTTGATAGAATAAGGGTACAAGTGCCAAAATACATATTACCTAGTGCCTTGAGGCGAGAGCCCTATATATATATAGGAAAAATGGCAAGCACTTTGAGTTAATATTTCGATGTGGAACAACTGGCGTCACTTGAAGGGCCATCACATGTCCTTGAGCTTAAGCGGCAAGAAAAATGCCTTTGTTGAACTGGATCAACAAGGTTAGCTTGTCGAGGTTGAGTCCCTATGCCAATGGTCGGCGTGGATCCTAGTAAATGACTTAAATCGTACTTGCATTTTTTTGTTGATTTATGAGTGTAACACTAAGGATTTAATAGCTATGCTCGGTTGTTAACTTAATTAAATTCACAACCACGTGGTAGCTAAACTAAGAATCTAGGAAGAATGACGTCCTTCGAGGTGTGTGTGATTTAGGACATGCAAGTACGCGGCCAAAGGCCAAGCATACACTTGTCAAGGTATGACTTGTTTTGAAATTCTTAAACAATTATGGCTGAGGAAGGAATACATCTCAACAGTAGGTTGACCTGCCTTGAAGACAAGGATTGGTCATGCTACTATTGAATAACTGGAATATATTTGGAATCGTTGACACTGGCTCGTTCACTATCACATGAGTGATGAATTCAAATGATCGAAAAACATGAAACCAAGCTAATAGGGTGAAGGTATTGGATGAAAATCTTAGTAGTAAAAGTGAATGTGATCTCAACGTTAGAGTATTGAGCTACCTAGTTACAGAAAGTGAAACACATTCAACAAATTGGTAGGGATACTTCTCGGTATAAGCTTTTCATTGAGTGGAACAAGCACGACCTCAATTGGGAGCTTCTGTTGGATGAAGTTCTTCGTCCATATTAAGTGTACCTAGTGAGGCAGTGGAAGGGGTAGACCTACTGAAATATATTTTTCTTTACGGTCACATTTGAATTAATTTTTATTTGACATATACAAAATACCTAAATTTGAGTACTATACTTTATTATTTTACATTTCACACATTAACTATCTACTCATTATTTATACGAGCAAAAAATATTGATTAAAATTATCAAAATAAGAAAAAAGAGATTTAGAAGGGATAGAGAGAGAAGAAAAACATATAATTTAAAAAAAATATAAAATAAAATAAAAAAAGGAAAAGGGCACTTTAAATTTTGATAAAAGAGTTGAAATTGTGTTAAGAAAACAAAAGTCTCTAGAAAATTGAGAGGGGGCATAGGACATAAAAATGGGGGTGTTTTTATTTTTATTTTTATTTTTTTGGGTTTTTGGGTTTTTAAAAGTGGGCCTATCAAACGGGTTTTTTGAGCTTTGGACTTCAAATCTGTTTTAGAGTTTATAAAATTGGATCCAAGTAAGATACCAAATGAGCCCTTATTTTTTGTGAGAGTTATTTGTATGCATAGCTTCGTTTATGTTGTCATTTTAAGCCCTTGAAATCTTAGAACTGACCCTAGCATGCACCATTTATTAAAATAAAATTTCATTTTACAAGAGTTTGAATTTATCGTATTGTTTATACCTTGATTTTTTCCCATTAGAGCCACATAACCAAGTGGCATGGCAAAGCCTGTTTAAATACATAGATGGGCTTAGAAGTAGAGATACCCAAGTTTTAAAGAAATTGAAAGGTGGAGCCCAAACTCCACGATCATGACATATTGGACTCGGCTAAAAATAAGCAAGTTCGTACTAAAGAAAAAGCGGATTGCCAAGTCCAATATCATCTCTATAGTCCATGAGCACGAAGGCTAAACACTCGGCCCAAGAATTGTGACACCCAAGTTCTTGGCCCAACTTAATCTCACGATGAAGCTCAACCAAAGTTAGAGCTCGATAGTTTGTTCCTCGGCCTAAAAAATCTTCACCAAGTAAAATTGCAGGTACCAAATTTAGAAAAGGCATCATGTGACTTATCTTGAGCAAAGCGCCGCATAGAAAGGCAAAAAGAATGATGTAACATATAGCTAATTTTGAAACTTGTGCACACAGATTATAAGTTTTGGAACTCGCCTGGGAAGCGTGTACAGAATGATGAGCCTTGGGGCCAGTGATTGAGGCATGACATGAGGGCAAGAACATTTGCCTATAAATAGGGAACTTACACTTCATTTTTACATACTCAACGTCTCAACAAAATCAACCCAAAATGCTGCTTAAATTTCCTCTAAAATCAAACTTAGAATTTTTATTGCTTTCTTGGGATTTCTTGTCTCCATATCACTAAGAAACTTTGAGGCATGTTCAAAGTTCTCTTAAGCATCATCATTGTAACCAAGCACATTATATATATATATATATATATATATATATAACAGCTCTAATTCATTAGAGTCTTGAGTAACATCCAATCCACCCCGATTTCTCATTTAAGCTTTATCTTAGCCTATAACTCAAAGAGGAATTGAGAGATCAAATTGAAAACCAAACTTCTCACTAAACACAGCAGTCTTACAAGCACTTGACTAGGGCGAACGACATCAACAACTTTGTTACCAAAGTTGAGAAACCAAAGGACGAGATCGCGTTCTTTACTTGGTCTTAGTCACTCGATGAAGTCAGAATTCACGACGCAGCCTATTATCGACACCACCAAACTTTCTTATTGCTATTACGGCCAAAAGTGACAATGATAGCTAACACGCCTTCACACTCAAACCAAAGAATGACTTAATTACCATTTTCCCTCGGTCTTTGATTATTTTATTCTAAATAATTCGCATGTCAAACCAAAAAGATTTTACAGTCAACACATATGATCCATAGATGCATAATGAGGTCCCAATCAACTCATTTTTTTTTTTTTTTTTTCAGTAGCAATTCAATTGAAGAAACAGGGCACAAACCCAGGATACAACAATAAGAACATAGCCCTAGAAGGAGGTTCTTGCAATACAGACTATAACAACAACACCAACTAAGCACAAGTATTACAAGATAGTTAGAAAACAAATATACAACTTTAAACCCAGCTAACAAGAAGTTACAGATGAGGAGGATCCTAATTCTGCAGCAACCAGTGCTTAAAAAAGATCAAGACAGAGAACAAATTCTCAAACTTCATAAGACAGGAAACACCCCAAGAGTGGAGGGCATTTCCGCTCAACTTCCACTAGGACATTCCAAAGAATATCACAGCATCTCCTAATCTCCTTTGATCCCCAAGCACAATAAAAGTAGATCCACCAAATTTAGCAGCTCCACCTTCAATACAGAGAGATCTACACTAGATCTACCACACAAGTAGCAGATCTAGCAAGATCAACCAATAACCAGCCCCAAAAGACTGGGAAACAAACCCTCAAGAAAAAAAAGGAAAGAAACAAACCCTTGCAACAGCAAGGAGTAGACAAAACCCAAAAAAGTTTGGAGGGAAAACCTCTCCACAACATAACCGGGGGGGGAGGGGGGGGAGAGAAGCCCGGATTATTAACCAAAGTGGGGTGGTTCCAGGGGAGATCCCCTGGAACCAAGGAGAATTGCAGATCTGGAGTTGGCTTTGGGTTGGAGGGAGAAGAAGCGTCAAGAAGAAATGAGATAGGCTTAATCATTGTTGCTTAAATTTCCTCTTAAATCAAACTTAGAATTTTTATTGCTTTCTTAGGATTTCATGCCTCCATATCACTAAGAAACTTTGAGGCATGTTCAAAGTTCTCTTGAGCATCATCATTGTAACCAAGCACATTATATATATATATATATATATATATATATCAAAAGAACAGCTCTGATTCATCAGAGTCCTGAGCAACATCCAATCCACCCGGATTTCTCATTTAAGCTTTGTCTTAGTCTATAACTCAAAGAGGAATTGAGAGATCAAATTGAAAACCAAACTCTTCACTAAACACACCAGTCTTACAAGCACTTGACTAGCGCGGACGACATCAACAACTTTGTTACCGAAGCTGAGAACCCAAAGGCCGAGATTGCGCTCTTTACTCGGTCTTAGTCCCTTGACGAAGTCAGAATCCACAACGCAGCCTATTATATCGACACCACCAAACTTTCTCATTGCTATTACGGCCAAAAATGACAGTGATAGCTAGCACGCCTTCACACTCGAACCAAAGAATGATTTAGTTACCATTTTCACTCGATCCTTAATTATTTTATTCTAAATAATCTGCATGTCATAACAGAAAGGTTTTACGGTCAACACATATGATCCATGGATGCATAATGAGGTCCCCAATCAACCGAAGTTTTAAGGACTGCTTTTATGCAACTTCAACGAAATTAACAATTCCAAAACCACGCATTCCACTAGGTGGCTTCACTCATTCAACCAATCACCTTCATCAAGAAGTCATAAAGGTGGGGTTGCAACATCATTAAACTTTTGGCAGTATGATTCTATCAAACGTCAAGATTGTTCGGGAAATCAGCAATTTAAATTTTGTTGATTTTTCTATATTAATTAGGTACCCTACTTTTCATTACAGTTATACAATAAGACTTTAAAAGTTCATGATAAATATAGTCCAACAACAGAAAATAGATGCAAACCCACCTTTTAAAAGAAAACAAAATAGCAAGGGACCAGAGTCAAGAAGACCAACAGTTAGAAGAAATCATTGTCAAACATCATATATGGGAGAGGTAAGATGCTAGTTGATTGGCGTTTATGGTTTGAGTATCATATATACATTTGGACTTTCATCAAAATCCAAACCAACCCACGCAACAATAACCTAATTTATACACATTTATGCATATAACAAGTTAATAACCACAATGCCACCAATTTATCTTCCTCTTCTTGTCCTTTTTCTGTAGGCCAGCTTGGATTGATATAGTTCCAAAAGGCACCCGAGTTCTTATAGGACCAAAAGCCTAGCTACCAAGACTTTGGAGTTTAAGCACTTAAATCCCAAGGTTTTATGTGGCATGGTGACCCTTCCGTACGATTTCCTTGCGCTTTATCACTTGCAAGTAGTATGCTTCCCATGTGACACCCCCCACCCCTCTACATCCCCAAATGAGGCCATCTCTTCCCCACATCTCCCTTCACCTATCTCTATCACTCGGTACTGTAATCAACTAGAATTGCGCCCAGCTGCTAACTCGGGGACCCCATCTTTAATGGAGTCGGGACGAGTATAACCTCTGTCTATGGGTTTCTCGTTTACATTGACACTGACAGAGAAGAGATGAGAATGGCAAAATCGTTCCGACTTATTTCGCCTTATTTTTAAGTATCACTCGCTTGTAAGGACTTTGTAACTCAAATAATTTAAGAGCATTTATTATTTTATCCTTGCACTTAAGGTGTTATGTTGGATTACTTCTCTTTCTCACAGTATCGCTTAATCAACAGTTCGGTAGCGAGTTTGAGTCTTATGCATGTTATATTTTACCTATCTCTCTATCACTGATAATGAAGCCAAAGTTGGTTTCGGTAATGGAGTTCCATAAGTTCATATTATATACTACCTCCTTATATAAGTTGTACAACGTATAACTAAAACATTGCCTAACAATATTCCCTAAAAATTTGGATTCAGAATATCTGACAAGATTCCTCATTTAGAGGAACAAATGTGCACGTCATGTGATAAATAATGTTACATGTATCATATTTATAATATTAAATTAATAATTGTCAATCCCAAAAATTCACACGTGGACTAACCCGCTCTCATACCATGAAGGAAGTTGAGGATCCACCTCAAAACCAATTGGCAATGGAGGGAGTAACCCCACTCCCTATAAGTCATTGCAAACTAACTCTAATAAATTTGTATATTAGCGCAACGAACATGGAGCTCAAGTGGTTAAGAGCATTTATCCATGTACCCGAGGTTCCAAGGTTCGATCCCCCTCCTCTAATATAGCTTGTATAAAAAATAAAATAAATGTATATTAGCTAAAAGGTCTACTTGAAGAACAAAGGACAAAAAAAAGACCAAGAAGTTGAAATAACGAAAGGCTCTTTTCAATAAAGTGGCAGATTTTGGTCATAGACTTGGTTAGAAGCGTGGCAATTTTACGACCCTTTAAATGTCTATCATCTCTTTATGGCAAGCAGCCTACCAGTACCAAATATCAACCCAATAATCAAATCAGAACCAGTCGAATTTGGAATTTCATTCTCAAAACCAAAACCCATCACCACAATGTAGCTTGTGGCCCTTGTTCGCTAGAAATATAATATCTAATTCAATGATTGCAGGCAGCAGTGCAATCTTTTCTGTAAGCTTTGAGAGCAATGATATGAAGTCGAAATTCCAAAAATCTCATAATGGGATGCAATATATCTCAAATTTTGTCTTTGAAAAATATAGATCCAATTGATTTCCATTGGTCACATATCAACTCATAAGTACTAATCGCCAAAGAAAAAGTAACCCCTTGCTTTGACATTATCATGATCACAGATTTTGTTACATTCCTTATTTAAATAATGTTCTCATTTTGCTCTTGCAGTTTTACTTTTTTAAAATTTAAAAAAAAATACAAGTAATAGTCTAAACTACAAAAGAATACGATTTCGCACACACGATACCAAAGTGTCATGAATTTAGAACCTGAAACTATTGATATGCAAGTCAGTGTTCTTTTTTACTAGACTGGACCTCGTTGGTTGGTTGTTGTCTTACATTTTAGTTCATTGGAAGAAGTTATTAAAAATATATAAATGATGAATACTAATGGAAAGAAAGTAAATAAATAAATAAAGGTTGATAAAACTGAAAATGGTCAGTTAAATGTGGTAGCTTTTTTTAGTTTGATGACGAAAGAAGAGGGGACAACAGAATAATTGAAAAAAGGGTAAACCTGCAGCAGCCAGCCACATCAGAATGTACGGACACGGCCACGAACCCTTCAGGTGGACGCCTGCTGGGAGGAATCTGTCACTTTACACGGGATTTATTGTTTTTTTCTTTTCTTTTCTTTTCAGGTATAAACGGTGATTCTTTCAGTTTCTCTGTCACACACTTTCTTGTCAAATAAAAAAAAATAAAGTTTTTTTTTGTGGAGGAAATAGATGGTTTACTCATTAATAATGACACATGACAGTTATTAGTGGAGACGTAAAAAAGAACTTTTGAGAAATATGAAAGGAATTTATTTATTTATTTTCATCGATATTAATATCTTTTTCTTCTTTCTCCTTCCACATCTTCATCCTGCAATGTAATTTAGGGTTTGTTTAAGAGTGATTTTGGGAGGGTCAAATTACTTATGAGGAGAAGTATCTTTTACGTGATTCTTCATATAATCATTTTAAGTGATTTTAAGCAATTCAATGGAGAAGTGATTAATGGTCTCTATCTAGAATTACTCTCAAACGAGCCCCTAATGATCGGAACAATCCATTTATCTCTCAAAAATTATCTTTATAAGAAACTCCCGGTATGGTATAGCTCAGTTTGTTGAGTTATCCCACCTCCACCTATGTGGGCAAAGGTTTTTTTTGAAAATATGTTTCCCCATTACCAATTGATGGTTTTGGGGAGAAACTTCAACTTCCTTTATGGCATCAAAGTGGGTTCTCCCCACGTGTGAAGCCTAACAGCCACACGTGTTCCATGTCACCCAATATGTTTTATCTATGTGTTAAGCTTAAAATTTCACCGCACTTGTAAAGATTGGGGGAAGAGGGCGTGCGAAAATGTGAAAAAATATCTCACATGTAAAAGTTAAGAGATGTAATACAATATAGATATGTTGAGATATAATTTCATAATAACTAAGAACTGACAATAATTTAAAAAGAATGATAATATTAATGAGTGTGGATGCATGAGCCCATATAATAACACCAAGAGGATGCCCTCATCTGCCCAACACCGAAAATAAAGTTAGGGTTTAGTGAAAGATGGCGATGTGTAACTGCGGCAGCATTGGCTCTCAGTACTGTCAGCTCAGCATCCGCCAATGAAATGGCAAAGATTGTAAAAACTAGACCGACCAATAAAGTTTGGGCTCACCTATGTTCCTAATATATAACCCCAACAAACCCTACCTTCGCTTTACCATCCGTGGTTCATGAGCTTCCTAACTCTCATCTCTTTCAAGCACACACACAAAGTCAGGCCTCTGTTTCTTTCTCTGTTATATTGCTTTCTATTTTATTTGTTTTCTCTCTCTCTAATCCTAATTAACATTTGTTGATTATTTCTAATCTTCTTTTTTTCCTCATTTTCTCTTTCAAACACTGGAATATACCAACTGGAATTTTGTCTCTGGATATGATCGTTTCTGTGGGAATCTGAATTTGGTTTCTTTTCTTTCATTTTCAAATTGTGTTCTTTGTCGGAATCGATCGATCCTTTCGGAGAAACCTGAGCTGGATATCAAAATCTGTGAATTGGGAACAGAATATATGTAACCTTTATCATTATTATTTTTCTCAAATATTCTTTGAGATTTTTTATTATTATAGATTAGGTAGTACCTTAAAAAAAAAGAATAGGGTTTTGTTTTGTTTTTTGTTTTCTTCTTGGGTCTAGTTTCAAAACGTTAGATTCTTCTTGGGCTACCCCTCTTTACGTTTTGGCCACTGGCAGTAGGCCACGTAAGCTAATTCCTCGTGGACTTGGTGCTATTTAATTTGTACACGATGAAACTAAAATTCTCCAAACTATTCCCTTCACTGTGTTCTTCTTTGAATGTCCTTAGTCTTCTGGTTCTTTTTTTTATTTTTATTTTATATATATATAAATAGTTTATGTATCATTTTCTTGTTAGATTACCTCTTCAAAATCCACAAACACTCGGATCTCGATCGGTACATGACTCGTATATATGCTTTGATGATATAAAAAGATTGACAGTCGTTGTTTGCGGGCGTAGCATCATCAAGATTCACGCACATGCAATTAACTTGAAAGTTTCTCTCTTTGCCAAAGTTTCTTTCAAAGTGAGAATCTTGATGATGCTGCATCGGCAATAAACCACTATACAAAAGAGAAGATCCCTCTCTCTCTCTCTCTTTCTCTCTCTCTCTCTTTCAGTCTCACCAGTCTTTCACAGTCTCACCAGTCGCTAAGGCAACTTTTTTCACTT